TTAGCAGCCTCCCGAACAACCAAATTCCCTCCCACAGAGCGTGTACGCTCCAAACCCGTGATCATGGTAAGCTAGACTCACAGTCCTCTTCATGTGCGGTTCTGACATCCCGATCAGCAGGCCATGACACCCATCACCCCGCTGGAGCCGGGCGTGGAAATGTTCGAACGAGGAAAGACACAGTCGTTCTTTTCCAATGCTCTAACGGCCCGCTCATCGCTAGAGCGCCCGGTTTCTCACATCAGTGTCGCATACACCGATATCGAGGATGATTCTAGCGAATTCGAGGAGTTCAGTGGCTCATCTGTATGTATATTCTGGCCCTCCACCATATGCGACACTGACTTTCCGAAGAGCGACAACAGGCGAAGTCAAACAACAATCTCTACCTTTGAGGAAGTACAGACACCTGCGGAAGAAGTGCGACCACAGTTCGCCTATTGGCCAGAACGGAAGTCAGTAGAAGGCCCCAGAGGACCACACCTCTTCCGCGCCTCAGTGTCGTCCAGCGACTTTCCGTTTGACGAAGGTCAAGTAATGCAGATGTCGCCTCTCCTGCCAAAAGAAACTCCACTTCGTCTTCCAACCTCCTTCCGAGAGGCCACTCCCGAAACGATTGTCCCCCAGAGAGAGTACAACAATATCGCTCTCGCTGTTGCCCACTTGGACAACGCTGAAGTGCGCGCCTGGACTTCCAAAGACGTTGCTACCTGGATGTATCAGAACGGATTCGAAGACGACGTAATTGACAAGTTCATGGAGCACGACATCTCCGGTGCGGTACTACTGGATCTGCAGTTCGACGACCTGAAGGAGTTGGAGATTCAGTCCTTTGGCAAGAGACACCAACTGTGGAACCAGATCGATTCCCTGCGCACTGCCGACGGGCTGATGTCGCCAACTGCCCCAGCAGCCATCCCGACTCCTTTCGAAGATATTGAACGACCATGCACAGAGGCACGAAACAGGTCCAAGAGCAAGGGCCGGAAAGCTAGTCGACGTGATAAGTTGCGAGGGAACCACATGACAGACGATGTTATCACACCTGCGCATTCCGTCTCCATTGTAGCGATTGAACAGCTGCTTCCCAAGCCACACGTGTGCGCAAAGGGTGAACGATGCGCCAAGTGGAGGAAGCAACAACGGCAACTTGCCAGACTTCAACAGGAACACGGCTTCCCGATCTCACCCGAGAAAGGTGGTCACATCTTCATCGCGGGTGATCCAGGCAACCCCCAAACAGCATCCCACGCTGTCGAGAACGTCCACCGCCCGAACTCTGAGGCTACCCCTTCTGTCGTGGTGCCGTCTGTCGTAGCATCATCCGACGTCCTCGGGCCTGGCCAGCTACCTGATTTCAGTCTTCAAGACCTAGAAAAGTTCGAGCAACGCGACCCGCAAGACAATGTGCGACAGTTCCTCACCCTACAAGGCCAGCAGCCCTTCGTCAGCGCTACTCCAATCGAGGCTCCTCCAACCCCGCCTACAGAATCATACCCACCTCGTCCCTTCTTGGTGATACCACAGCAATCGCACTACCCGCAGGTTTCAGCCTTTTCTGCATCTACATCGGCGCATACAACAAAGTCTTTCGACCCATTCAGTCGCTCACCCTCAACTCCAGCTCTACACCCCCCGGAGTTCATGCCAGCACCTCACTCAAACCTCAAGAGCCTTCCCAAACTGACGATTCCTCCGGCACGTTCAATGTCTGCCCAACCGGCTGGTAACCCACGCCAAGGAGTCCCAGTACAACAATACCTCGCACCCGACACCGCATTCTCGCCATGTAGGACAGCGTCACCAGGTGGCGTCTACCGGTTCGGCACGCCCTTCTCCGAGATGGACGTTCCTGTGACTGCTGTGCAACAGGAGCCACTTAGTCGCGACACAAGCCAGTCCGTGCCCCCGAACATGCAGTACCAGCCCCAAATCCAAAGAGTTGGATCGCGTCACGACCGAAGACGCCCCTCGTTGCCCATGCCGGCGCTTGCTGAGGATCGCGTGTTCAGCCCAACCGCCCACTCAGACGACGACACCCTGCGCGGAACCATTTTCGACGACTCGGTCAGTACTAGCGACAGCGCTGGCTCGTCGCCGCTCAAGATTACCCAGCCATTTGCCAGCGAAGCTAGTGACACGATTGCGCCTTTGCACAAGGGAGGCTTTGTGTACAAGGGAGTAAACCACCACGGATGGATGAAGAAGCGCCGCACGAAGCTCCTGCGTCACGAATGGCAAGACCACCACTTCCGCCTCCAGGGCACACAGCTAGCTATGCATCCCAATGAGCTGCCATCTTCGTCCGCACTGCAGACGATCGACGTGGACGACTATGCAGTAGCATGCTCATCCATCGCTTCCAACAAGCTCTCTGCCAAGTTCAAGGCTCTGAAGCTCTCCTCGGGTCATCACAAGGAGAAGTCAGCTGCTTCTACTCCTGCCTTTGAGTTCCAGCTTGTGCCTGCCGCACCTGGCAAAGGCGATGTCAAGAAGGTGATGCCCAACGGCAAGGTCCAGCACTTTGCTGTGACTACCAAAGACCAGAGAATTGACTGGATGCGTGAGCTCATGTTGGCTAAGGCCTTGAAGGCCAAGAGCGACGGCTACGAAGTCAATGTCAATGGCGCTAACATGTGATGGCTACACTTACATGGCCATCACTCTTTCCTTTACTAGTCTGTTCTTGTTTGAAATGTTTTTGGTCTAGCAAGCGAGCGTATGTTTTGTTGTCTTGTTGATTTCTGCGCAATCTCCTCTTCCTCAGTCCGATCATGATCCGCTATTATACCCTTTCCGTTGTCCTTTTTGTTTTGCGCCATCCTGCATGTTACTGTTATTTGTGTCTTCTCCCAATCCCTTGGAGGTAGCATATATTTACTTTCACTACTGCATACATCTAAAGACTTGGAACGCTGAGCGGGGCCGCAAGGTCAGGGAACATTGGTTATTCTTTGGTTTGAACATGGTAATGTCTTGGTCATTTGCTCGAGCGTGGAGGTCTTGCAACAATCACTCCTTCAATCGGGTGGTATTTTTTGCTTTGACTAAAAGCTGTCCTTATGTTGAGATGAAGTGAGATGGATGCAAGTGTGGGGCGGGAAGGTGAAGGAACATCTAGGTACTATCCATGAATACGAATGAACGTCATACTACAAACTCTTCCTATAACCACCCATCACCGTGCTTCCACGTAGAGATACCACTTCATCACCGCCTCCCGAAACATCCATGTTCGTCACTTTCTTTAAAACACTCGGTCTCCGAGGTTGTTCTCGTGGGTCGCTCGGGCGGTGTGCGTTGTTCTCTCACGGCCGAAAGCAGCCCCATCACGAAACCACGTCGGCCCCCGAATACGTCAACCACGAATATAGTCGATGTATCCACATAATGCCGCTAATTATGATCCATTTCTTCTTATTCTTATTCCAAATTCTTTCCGTTGCTAAAATCTACCTATATAAGGCCCTAAAACACACAATTTCGTCTGACCCGTTCGCTTGGTTTCGCGCATGAACCTCCATCACTCGCATGTGAAACGTCACCCGATATGTGACATGCTAAGCGATAATGTGCGATACGTCCAGCTCAATCGTTCGTTGACAAGGCATGTTGTTAAATGCCTTGGACGATTAGGTTACCGCGGGGCTGGATCGGGCTGGGAGGTGACAAATGTTTGATATTGCAATACTCATCAAATGACAGATTATAGTTTTGAGTGTGGAGTTTTGGCAATATGACGTTTCGGTGACAGGGCATTGATTGGGGGTCTTGGATATGTTTGCGTGACTTCGGTTAAACGATGAGATAATTATTGGAAACGACCATGCGAGATATCGACTCATTGGAGTGTGTGCGAGACCGGGGGAAATCGGAGCTGGAGCCGTACACCTCTTCAACCTCCTCTCTACTCCCATCGCTCCTCCCGGGTTGCATTGCTCTCAGCTCAGCTCGTAGGGAAAATGGACGTTCAATCCGCGTCGCACAACCTCCGACTCGCTCCCTCGCCGAGAAGTTTGATAGCACAATCCCCATCTTCTCCACCACCATCACACAAGTCCATCACCACGACCAAGGAGCTTAATCTCAGAGCCTGCCTCTCGGTACTCCTAGACGACCACAAACGTGTGAATGACATCGGCTACCTGCATAGGTGCACTTTTTCCAACTAGATGATGCACGTTCCAAGGCAAGGTCGTACTGACAGCTGTCAAAATCTCTGGTGCGTCGTGACATGAGCGCGAAGTGATGGTAGTGTCGGTAGTGATGGACCATGGGCGCGGAGATTGTTGCTGTTACGGTGGTAGCTTGAGCGGCTATTCTGAGGGGAGCACGTGTGATGAGTTGGACGAGGCGATGTTGTACGAAGATGCGTATGGTGTCGGAGTTCGACCATGTGACCATTGCTTGAAGCTCGGTATGAATGACTGATTACATAGTTTGGGCTGCGTATATGAGCTGACAACGGACGATCAAAGTCACACCGATGTTGTTCAGTAAGTGTGATATGCATGCTGGCAAAGTGGAGGGATGATCATGCCAGCAAAACTGCAATGTAGTGCAAGCATGGACAAGAATATATTACTAGATACCAAGAAGGAAATCGAGCAAGCTCGTACAGTTCGACTATTACATACATATATAAGAAAAAGAATTAACCAGACGTCTGCCACCATGTATGTACAAACTCTCCATGCCACGAACGTGGTCCAAGAGGTGGGAGACCGGTCAAGCTCTGTCCGTGTACTGATGAGGTACCAGAACATGCCTCATGACTGAGACAGCGTTGTGTAGAGCTATCGGTATAATAACACAAGACTCGTCGTGTGGTTGTCCATGGTCATACTGCAAGTGTAGCTGGCGTGTGTATGACTTGCGAATGATCGAGTGTGCGTCGAGTGTTCTGAATCGAAGGTAGGAGATGGTGCAATCGAGCAGCTGATATGGCGGTTGTCGTAGTGCGATGTAAGAGTCGAAGAATCTTCTCATCGTGAAGAGGTTTACTCCTGATCGTCTTCGGCTGCGCCAACTTTGGTGTCCCAAAGGGGCCCACCCTGTGGGTTAGGAGCGGGAGCAGCTTCAGCGTTGCGCCCCCAAACTGGCTTTCTCCCTGCGTCAGGAGCGGGAGCAGCTTCAGCGTCGCGCCCCCAAACTGGCCTTCTCCCTGCGTCAGGCGCGGGAGCAGCTTCAGCATCGCGTCCCCAAACGGGCTTATGCTTCTGTGGGTTAGGAGCGGGAGCAGCTTCAGCGTTGCGTCCCCAGACGGGCTTCGTTCCGGGATACACCCACTTCGGTGGGCCAGGAGCGGGTGCTGCTTCAGCGTTGCGTCCCCAGACGGGCTTCGTTCCGGGATACACCCACTTCGGTGGGCCAGGAGCGGGTGCTGCTTCAGCGTTGCGTCCCCAGACGGGCTTCGTTCCGGGATACACCCACTTCGGTG